GAAAAAATTGATAAACAGTGCCTATACACTTCGGAATCGCTAGGAGTACCACCAATAAAGACAACGGACCACGTGGTGGGTCAAATTTAACATTCAAGTGAAACCACAACCATAAAAAAGTAATTGGAAAAAAATCTTACCATCTCCAGAGACAACCGAGGAGTAAGTCCTTTTTTGTCCTTTTTCTTGTTTAGAATAATCCACCAGCACAAGGTTTATATTCAAAGATATATATAATTAACGCGAAAAGGTGTCGAGTAACTGATGATCTCTTAATTTAACTGGAGACGGCTGGTAGCTGCCTTGCTAGCTCCCAATGTGTGGTTAATAACTATTTAAGGTAGAGTATTAATTTGTAATAGTTCGGAGATTTTTAAAATTGAAAGTATTAAACTAATTAGAAATATTGCATTTGTTTAATCTTCTGGAATGGTTTCGGCTGGAAAAGGGTGCCGGCTTAATGGTCATTGCACCCTAGACATCCTACAGGTGTGTAAATGTGTGGAGGCGAATTTAAAACGGGGAGTAACCATGCATGTGATGGACTAGCATCTCATCCAGGGGGGAAGGGAGAGTACAAATATTTCGTAGCTTAGGCTGTATGGGCTACTGGCCTGACGCAGACGTTTTTAAATTCTAATACGTGCATCTCCATGAACAGTTCTGGTAGTTGTTGTTTTTTTTCGGGACACTCAGAGATAAATTTCGCATTAAATTATTTGATTAGGTTGTGAATTTACTATTTATTTTTAATCATCAATATTCTTATTTATTTATTTATTTATTTACTTTTATCATTTTTTTAATTTATTATTTTTCGGTCATTCCGGGAATTCCGGGTATTCCGGGTATTCCGGCACGGAATTCCGGCATTCCTTATTTTCAAACTACCAAAAAGATACGGTCCCTTGAGCTGGCTTTCACATCAAAATAGTTAAGATTAAGATTTTCCTCGAGCCTCTTTGCCAGAACACACAGCTTCCGAAGAATAGAATAGTTTATCAAAATAGGATAAGTGTGGTAAATATCCCTCTAAAAAAATTATTCGCTGAGCTTGTATCAGTATAATTACCCAGTTCATTATCAAACGGACGGAAGCATTCTCTTTCATTATCTTGTTTAATCTCGTCAAAATTGCGCGTTGGCCATTTTGAAAATTAGTGCTTGATTTCATACTCATCCCGCACGAGGTGATTATTTCATGATATGACAAAGACCTCGACCGGTCACATTCCGAAGGTTTATATAATTTGTAATTACTTGAGTATTTAAGCAGATGAGAGGCAACGGAAGAAGGTTATTTTCACTTGATTTGTTATATACTCTGAACAGACGCACAAGTTTTAATGCAAGGTTTAGAAAATCATGAACGGCGGTCAGAAATACTTAGTTTACTTTGCATGAAGGAAAATATTCTATCTGTTGTGAGGAAACCGAACTGCAAACAGCAACGGCGACGAGTTTGTGGTTTTCTCTCGAATGGTGATACGCTTAAGATAATGAAATCCACCTACTCTGATGTTGCAACTTTCATG